CTGTCTTTTTTTTTTGTTTGACAAAACAAAAATTGAAACATGGCGGCGAATGGGAGCGAGCTGTTCCTCGATAGGAACACTCGCGTGCGCAAGATTCAGCAGATCGCAGCGTTCCTGGCTCAGATAGAGGGGAAGGACCCGCAGGTAGGAGACGCGAGAATCCCAATAGCAAGATGGCTAGGGTGCCCACAAGTATTTCGGGTCCTGATGCAGGGCAGCGATTCATCGTGTGTGTTTGCTTTTTTTTCAGCACAGGCAGCAGCAGCTGTGGACATTTTTTTTGTTGCGGGGTTCTGTCTCGCTCCGCCACCTCTCGGAATGTTAACTTGGATGTTGCGGTTTTGCGGGTCAAAGAGCACGCCCCCCCTCCTCGCAAGCGCCTAGAACGTGGGTGTGCATCGCTTGTACGTCTCCTCCGGGCGCAGCGCGCCGCTGGTATATATGCGGGGCGTTCACCCTTGATATGCTTCTCTGATAAAACAGCCCGTCTGTCTTCTGTCCTGCGGCACTTGATGCAGCTGGCCTCTCGCATTTTTTTTCGGTAGAGAGAGTGCGGGTGGAGTTTTTGTTGTCGGAGCGCCCGCGCCCAGTCTTTTTGGGTTTGCCGTCAATCTCCTCGTGACGTGGCGGTGTGCTGCGACACGCGAGTGCGTAGCAACAACGCCAACCTGTTGTGCCAGACCGCAGGGATTCAGCGAGTAACATAGCCCGGGGGAGTGGCGATAGCAGCGGGAATAAAACGGTCGATGGTTCCCGCCTGAGTGTGTTGTGTTGAACCGACGATTTATTTTTTACCGCGTGGTTTGGTTTTCCACGAGATCGGCTCGTATGCATACATGACCCGCAGGGTTGTCCGCCACTCTATCTTCTTTTTATCCTCTCACATGGTTGCATGCATATTTGTGCGCCTCCACGGACAGACTCGTTTGGCATCATCTTTGTTGCTTGATTTATTTTCCTTAGACTCGTGAGCTCTCGTCCATCGTCACACCCTCCTGCTGCTGTGCGCTTCGCGGCTCCACGTGGTGTTTGCCTCCCCTGTATTCCGCACTTTTGGGTGTACCTGCTGTACTGGTACTGGTACTTGTACGCATAAATGCAATAACAATAAAAAAGTATGTCGCCGTTTTCCGTCGGCCAAACTGCTATGCTTGAGCAGGACCGGAGCCTGCATGGCCTTGCCCAGAAGTTCGAGAACCAGATATTCACAGCGGCGATGAACGTGGAGGACTACAACAACCGCATCAACAAGAAGCTGAGCAAGGTCCAGAAGGCGAGTGTATGACGTTGGGCACCTATTTAACTATTATAGAACGCTGGATCACGGTCGCCTTTGTCACGAAGCCGCCACCCGCCGTTTTATGTCCCACTGCTGTTGTCGATGGAAAGCTCTGGTTGCCGACGGGGACTTCGTTTTTTTTGTTCCGTGTTGTATCCGGCGCGATGAACAGCGAGCTGTAGTTGGATGGTTCTTGCACATGCTCCGTCAAGAATATGCATACAAAGTACAGCGGTGTTCACTACTGTTGTAGATCCTGTGAAGACATGAAAAATGATCTGTCACGACCCATGTCTTGATGGTCATGTGGTTGTCACACCGGCCATGGGCCGGCCGCCGGTATCCCTCTTTTCCCATGTTTGTCCTGCGGGCGCGTTGCGTTTGCAGCCGGCAGTGTGCGTCGCGGGTGTAGATGCATACAGTAGTGTTTTGTTGTGCACTGACATTTTACACTCCCAGTTCTAAAGCTTAATGATTTTTTTCCGCCTCCGTTTGCCGTTGGTGCAGGTCCGGCATCAGCAGGCCATGCAGCAGCAGCAGCAACAGCAGCAGCAACAACAGCAGCAGCAGCAGCAGGCAGCCTCGTTGCAGGACCCGTCCCAGCAACTCGACTCTCTCGACCACCAGCGCCTCCAGCAGCAACAACAGCGCCAACACCAGCTGCAGCACCAGCAACGGCAGCTGCAGCAGCAACAGCAGCAGCAGCAGCAGCAGCACCAGGTCGCGAGCGGAGGCATGCTCCAACAACAGCAGCAGCAGCAGCAGCAGCCCGGCCTGTCCACCTCGTCCGGCGGCGGCAGCGCGTCTGGCGCGGCCGCCTCCGCAGCGGCTGCCGCGGCAGCCGCCGCCGCGACGGCCTGGCCCGGTCAATACACCGCCGGGGGCGGTTCCGGAGCTGA